AATTTTCAGACTATAATAAAATGTGGTTATGAATTAATTGATAGTTTCGTTTTGACCGAAGATGATTGGTGGAATGAGTACTATGGGCCGATGGAACAACGAATTCAAGAGCTAAAGATGAAATACAAGGAACAACAAGAAGCGGAAAGTGTGCTAGATGAACAACTAAGTGAGATTAACTTGTATAAGAAGTATTCGAAGAGTTATGGTTATATATTTTATATAATGAAACAATAAATAAATCTTTTTCAATTAGGTTTATGATGAGCATATCTGGATGACGAAAAACCAAATCGCTTTGTTATTTTCCTTAAAACATGACCTATTTGTTCCCGTTTGTATTTTTCATAAAAAGAATTTTTGAATGTTACGTTCTGCAGATATCATGGTCAAATGCATTTGTATCGATTAAGTTGCGTCTTGGACTTCTGACATCCATGCACAAAAATCGGTCATAATTTCATACACGCACTTTGCTGATGTGACGCATGTGCATGTCAAATATCTTTAGAGCATGCTTAATGCTTCAGCCAAAATGAATGTTCATTTCATGAAATGTTAAAACCTCAAAAAAAGATCGATTTTTTGACTTATTTGGACATATGGTAAAAATCATTGAACAAGTTAATAAATAAAGTTTCAGTTCGCGATTATATTATTTAAGTTTTCTTGTTGTGTCCATCTGTAGCCCAAGAGATTCAATCCGACCTGTGGATCCTATCGGAAACCGATCGGATCCGAAATGGATTGCATCAGAATCCGACGCCTTCCGTTAAAACCGATCGGATCCGAACCAGTTTGCGTCGGATTCCTTGCACAGGATTCCGGACCGGATTACGTCGGAAAATATCCGTTCGACGGATTCAAACGGATTTCAAATCCATCCGACAGAATCCGATCGAGCGGCTTTCCTTGGTTTGAATCTCTTGGGTGCCTTTTGGAGAAATCGAGATACCCAAGAGATTGAATCCGACCTGTGGATCTTACTGGCAACCATCGGATCCGAAACGGATTGCATCGGAATCCGACGTCTTCCGTTAAAAACCGATCGGATCCGCTCCAGTTTGCGTCGGAATCCTGTGCAAAGGAATCCAGATCGGATTACGTCTGAAACGTCGGATTCAAACGGATTTGAAATCCATCCGACAGAATCCGACCGAGCGGCTTTGCCTTGGGAGGATAAATATTTGATAAGACACTCATAATTTCAGAAGTGAAGATCGGTAACTTGAATTAGTTCGAAATTATGATAGACTCTTTGATATCCACCTATGGACAAGATATCGTGCCAAAAGTAAGAAGACATCAGAAATGTTCTTGTGAATAAAACAAGAAGAAATAAACAGTAGATATTACCACGTATCAACATCTCGAATCCTCCTACTGATATCTAAAGTAACTACTATATTGTTGTTACAATTTGTAGCGATACATTTCTAATAGCATAGATTTATTTTTCCAGAATCAATGATATTTTATTTCCACAATCAAAGTCTATCGATGTGACATGGATATGGTTTCTTTTATCGTCCACATACTCAATCATGAGGTTTGAGAGATTTAATGTCATGACTTCTAGTCGTGTTGAAACTAAAATGTATACCAAAGCATAAGGCAAATGCAGTTATTGAGGAAGGAACTACTATGGACAACGGTTTCGTTGGAAATGTTGCGGCAAGATCGATATTGATCGAAATACATGTAGTTACAAAAGATATTACACATCAAATGTGAGTGTATTATAAATAATCAACTTGTTAGCCATGAAGGATCAAAGTATTTCGAGTCGTGACATGTTTCTAAATGCACCAGAAATTAAAAGATTTCCTCTAATCGACATATTATTCAAGGCTAAATCCTTTACATACTATTTGTGTAAAAAAATATTAAAAGAACTGTCATTAATATCAGTTGACCAGTATAGATTCAAGGTTTGTATGTTAATGCACGCTCATCGCTTCACTTGGGGGTTAGAATGGTAAGATTATGGTCGGCTGTAGCTTCACAACATACTTAAGAAGGATAAACAACATTATAAATCTTCAGTCACATAGTTAAACTATCTTAAAATGTATATTAGCTCTTGTTTTTTTCCTGCTCATACAGAAAAGCTAAGGCAAAAAATTCGTTGAAGACTATTGTTTGAAGAAATGAACTTTGATCGATATATTGGAATAAAATTTAATCTGAATTTGATGATTTCAAAATTAAAAAAGAACAAAAAAATGAGAATATTCAAAAATTCATTCGTTATGTAATTTTTTTTTTGAACAGAAGAGTTTTATATTTTTCTGACAATTTACATGAAGAATCAATTGTTGTTTTGTTCAAAGAAAATTTAGCAAAATTCAATCTGAAATTTTTTCTCGGTCGTATATTATTAATAGATAATCATGGTAATAGGAACATGCATGGTGAAAACGATTTGTAGTTATTTAAAGAATCCAGGACTTTCTTAGGTCATTCAACACGAGACTGCATCAAGTCGTAATTTCGAACGTTGACCTTTTCTTTTTGTTTTTCTAACAATGATTCAAAATCATGACGATAACAACATGAAAGTTGATACATGAATGATAACACGAAGTTCGGTTGGGTTATCAAAGTATCGAATGACTCAATCAAAAATAACCATGTATGCAATAGAATGTCTAAAGAATCTTGTTTCATCATACAATGCTTTCGTTTCCTACTCTGTTCAGAAGGGTATGAGTGTTTGTTCTGCCTACACTCACATTCACACTTCTTTTAGCAATGAGTGTACTGATGAAAAATTTTCACTCGACGATCAACGCCAACTACACACATGGTGTTGAGCGCCACAAACAATACCGATAAAATCAGAATGACTTGTTTCACATACTGTTCAAGTTCACTTCTGATCTACTTTACCAAGTTATTCTTTCTGGAGAAATTCACATTTCAAATGATTTTTTTTTTCATCTTATTGGTTCATTTCATGTTTTTATTATCTTATGACCTCTAAATACTTACGTCATGTTGGCTGGTTTTTCTTCCTTCGTAATTTCGTAACAATGCAATTGCGCAATAGTCTACATTTATATAGTGAATACAAACTGATGCAGCTCTCTCACATACAATTTACTATTGTGAATTTATTCCTTATTTCTTTTCGATGACAAAGAGATTCCAATCATCTGAAAACAATGTTGTTTTTGTCTATTCATTGTTAAGGAACTCAACGTTTTTTTCTTATACATTAGAATTCTAGATACTTTAAATGTATTTTAATTTTACTTTGATTCATTTATGAGCAGCAATCGGACAAAATCAAACACAAACGAAAACAAGATCGAGTATTCAAACGAGTAAGACGAAGAAAAAGATTTTTTTTTCTCTCAGAGAAACTCAACGGTAAACTATGATGCACTGTTGTTCGATTCTCTTCTCCATCGACGTACAATGTGCTTTTGTAGTCGTGGGTGTGTCTGTATTGGTTACCTTCTATAAACGATTTCGACCTTTGTGTATCGCACAAAAATCTGTACTTCTAGAGTACACATTTTGCATCCCATGTCACCTCTACTTCTTTGCACATCTTATGACGTTGGTAATACCTGAAGATATTAAAATACGTAAATTTTTTCTAGATTTACACGTTCTTACAAGTTTTATAAATTGTTTGTCTGACTGTTTAGTCTTTGATTTTCTCCTCAGTGCTTACCACATAGGTGTATCTCTTATGTAATCATATTAAAATTGAGTATTCTTCCTTGAGAAAGATGAATATTTGAGAGAGACTTTGCCCTAATAAATCAACTCCAATGTCTAGAGACTGACAAGCATTAAGCTGTGTTTTTTTCTTAATGAATACATGTTGAAATAAATCGATAATTAACTAATGGACGGTCAATCTATTCTAGGAGTGATGTCAACCAGAGTTCAAATGTGGGCGTACCCTCGATGGAACCAAGTATGTATATTTAAAAAATAGATTGAAATAATAATATACCCATGAACGTTTCCTCATTTTAGACGGAATTATCGAGAGTACTTGGACGGAACTGGTTGAAGAATTCGATCGGATGAACTTGCGTGAATCACTTTTACGTGGTATTTATAGCTATGGTTTCGAACGACCATCTGCTATTCAGCAACGCGCAATTAAACCGTGCATTTTGGGTAAGTAAAAAGAATTGGCCGTTCATCGAATTAGTGATCACTAATATTTCACTCAGGACACGATGTAATTGCTCAAGCACAATCAGGCACAGGCAAAACAGCTACATTCGCTGTTTCGATTTTACAACGAATTGACATGGAATTCAAAGAGTGTCAAGCACTCATTTTGGCTCCTACACGAGAATTGGCTCAACAGGTACGACTTAGAGATATTTTCATTAACGAAAGCCGATTTCTTGTTGGATTTAGATCCAAAAGGTCGTGTTAGCACTTGGTGACTACATGAACATCACGTGTCATGCTTTTATTGGGGGTGGTAGAGTTAATGACGATATCAGACGACTTGAATCGGGCGTACAAATCGTTGTCGGCACACCAGGTCGTGTCTATGATATGCTCGAACGAAGGGCTCTTCGTAAGTTGTTAATATTTGACATTAATCTTGATTTTTTGATGATAAATTACTTCAGAAAGCAAAAATATCAAAATGCTTGTCTTGGATGAAGCTGATGAAATGCTTAAAGAAGGATTCAAACAACAAATCTACAACATTTTCATGTTGATGCCGGAAAATATTCAAGTATGACTGAAATGATTCTTTCGTTTTTAAGATGATTTTCCTCTCGTTAGACTATTCTTCTATCGGCCACTATGCCTAGCGACATCCTCGAAGTAACAACGAAATTTATGAATGATCCGGTGAAAATTCTCGTCAAAAAAGAAGAATTGACACTTGAGGGTATTCACCAATTTTATGTCGATGTTCAACGTGAAGTAAGTGTTCAATGATCATGAGTTAATGTTTTCATTCGATAAACTCATCACACGTTGATCTGTCATGTTTAGGATTACAAATTGGATACACTGTGCGATCTCTATGAAACAATGTCAATTGCAAAAGCTGTCATTTTTTGTAACACTCGTCGAAAAGTTGAATTTTTGACCAAAAACATGACCGACCGTGATTTCACTGTTTCAGCTATGGTAAGTTTCAGAACATCACATTATCAGCAAATATTCATACGATCAATTTTACCAAACATACACATTTTCTACTGAGACATATTGAACTTGATCAGAAAATAAATATTCAATAAATCATAAAGTCTTTGACAGTTTTTCGATAGATCGAACGAACATGAGTTGTTTGACAACGTCCATTCATAGTCGATTGTTCTTTTTCTTTTTTCGTTTAGTGTGGTAACATGGATCAGAAACAGCGTGATATTATCATGAAAGAATTTCGTTCTGGTTCCAGTCGTGTGTTGATCGCAACCGATTTACTTGCCCGTGGCATCGACGTTCAACAAGTCAGCGTAGTCATTAATTACGATTTACCGAACAACCGTGAAAATTATATTCATCGGTATGATCACTTTCAAATATTTGACATAAAAGAAACCAAGTAAAAATTGATTTTTCTAATTCTTTTTTCAGCATCGGTCGTGGCGGTCGATTCGGTCGCAAAGGTGTCGCCATTAATTTAGTCACCGAGGAAGATCGAGCACCAATGCGTAGCATCGAACAATTTTACAATACCAAAGTACGAGAGATGCCAATGAACATAGCCGATCTGATATAACGAGTGGTTGTTCTTGTGCGTCTATGTTGACATCATCACTACTGACTTTTTTCTATCTAATATACTGCTGATGATATATTTCCTAAACAAGAATAATAAACTCATATATTACTATCGAATTTTTTCCTCTCAATCTAGAACTACGGCTAGTTCGTGTGGCATCATTGTGTGACAGGCATGAACGAATGCCAATCATTCTTACTACAATTCTCTTCTTGTCTTGTTCCTCTATCTCTTATTGCTTGAACCAGCTCAATAAAAATTCTGTTCTCTTCTCATTAGTTTTTTTCTCGTCGATTAAACGAACAAAAAATAAATGGTCAGACTACAACCAAAGCCTAATATTTTATGTAGCCAAATTAAATAGATGCCGGCTGATAGACCAAAAATAGCTATATTCTTATATTTCTATGATGCGCCGATTTCCAATATCATAATCTAGTTTGATCAAAGGCTTTGTTACTGATTAAGATAAAAGAATCACAAGGGAATAATATCTGATAATCCAAAACAACTACGTATTTAATCGTTCATGACTACTAAATCTGACAATATTCATACTATATAGTAGTATTTGTTCGATAGAAATTGATAAACTAGCTAGTCAATACCAGTTGAACGTTGCATTGTTTGGTGCAGATATATCATTCAATTTAGTCCAGTCAACAAGGAACAGAGATTTTTATATAACGATTCGGCTACGTACTTATACTCTTCTTTGCAAGAAGTTCAGTCGCCGACTTAAAGAAATCTAGTATATAATCAATGTATGCTGAAAATCATAATGAATGAAGAAGCTCAGCACAATGAACACTGACATATCAAATTGAACTTAGTAGATGAAAATAATAAAACATGTTTAGTGTTACAAATCAGACAACGTCTTGAGGAAATTATGAATGTATTCATACATTTAACACTAGGTAGAACAGTTTGATTCAAATATCGTATGAGCCATAATATTTTCCAACGAAGAATAGCATATCAGATGGCATCTCGACAAAATATGAGTAAGTGAAAATAATAAAAATGTTAATGATCTCATCATACAATATTTCAATTTCACAATTTTCTCTACAAGACATGGGGAATTTGTTGTTGTTATTATTAAATATTATGAGTTTGTTATTTAAATGTGCTTGAATATGTCGTTACTCCCTCGCCAAATAGAGAAATAGCTTGTATCAATGCTGTCAAAACTTCCGTGCATCAGCTGAAATTTCTACAAGTACAACATATTATTGGTGTCCGTAATCGCGTTCGTATGGATGATGTTGAAGAATAATGATAGTATGATCAAGACCCATTGCTTAGTATTCTATGTTTTTTTTCTATTTACTTTCATCTATTTCAATTGGTAATAAAATTTGATGGAATGAGTAGGGACAAAATTATTTGATTTATTTTCCAACAAAATCATCGTTTTTACTTAGTATTTATAAAAGAATGTCTTTTACTTAGCATCAAAAATTTTGCTCAATATTGTTCCATTGTGCTAAAATCTGTTGCTGTTTCGTTGTATTCAAACGTGATCCATATTCCGAGATAACAGATGCTGCAGCCAAACTTGCGAATTTTCCTGCTGTCAAAAAATCTTTTCCTTGAGTAATGGCGAATAAAAACGCACCGGCAAACATATCCCCCGCGCCATTGGTATCCACCGCTTGTGCTTTGTAAGGTGCAATAGTGTGCAGTTGTGTGCCATCGTGGACTAGGGCGCCTTCGGCACCCAGTGTAATAGCAAATGTCCGAGCAAACTTTTTCAAACAATCGATGGCAATTTCTAGATTGTCGGTTTGTGCCCAATTCAATGCCTCAACTCGATTGCAAAATAATAAATCGATATGCTTGCCGAACATTTCACGTAAATCATCGCGAAAATCTAACACAACACCTGAATCCGAAAGACTCGCTGCAATTTTTACTCCATTCTGTTCGGCAATTTCACGTATGCGAATAGCAGCTGTACGACTGGTTGGTGACATCACCATATAGGCTTCGAAGTAGACGTAATCGGAAACAACAATAGCTTCTAACACAATATCATGTTCCGATAGTGTCGTATTGACACCAAGAAACGTATTCAATGTGCGTTCAGCATCTGGAGTAATCATCACCAAGCAAGTACCAGTGATACCTTCAATGTGACGCTGATCAATTTGACAATCGACACCTGCTGTGTGTAGATCATGTAAGTAAAATCGACCGTTGTCATCATCTCCAACTTTACAAGTGTAAAATGTTTTGCCGCCGAATTGTGCAATAGCGATAATAGCGTTGGCTGTAGATCCTCCACTGGCCCGCTTTGAACACACCAGATGATCAGCAAGACTATCGAGTAACTGTTTCCGTCGCACTTCATCCACTAGTATCATCATACCTTTTTCGATTGCCATTGCCGCAAGATCGGTATCAGTTACATTGATTTCTGTGTCAACAAGTGCAGCACCCACACCGTATACATGATAGTGTTTCTTCATTGAGGCTCTTCTTCTGTTAAAGCAAAAGCTATTATTCTATCGATTGAAATGGCAATAAAATAGGTTACAATCTGTATTATTTATTACTTTGATATATCATAAACATTTTTGCTTGTGCAACATCAGTTGAGTATATATATATATATGAATGTTGTGTTATTATTCACCTTTGCACAAAGTGAAGAATGAAACAAATTTTGTTGTAACTGCTACACGTGCTGCGCATATTCATTCAAACACAAGGTAATCTAATATTTTCTTTCTTCCATTCACGAATACCGAATGAATGTATTGAGTCATACTGAATCAGCGTTTTGTATGATGTATCGAATTGGTTGTTACTCTCAAATTAAATATGTAATCACAGAGCTTGATAAGCAAAATGAGACTAAAAAGATGGAAGTGAAATTAACATACTTTTGAATAATAATATTGACATAGACAGTTGTATTCAAGATAGAACTTTCTCATCGTCTTTTAACTAAAACTGACTATTCGACTCTTGTTAGACCAATGGCATTCTTCCATCGTTGAAAAACAAAAATTTTTATATTAATGAATTTTAATGAGCAGATACGTATATCCAAATTATTGCAGAATTTGTATTGATCAATGGAAATGTATTTACAAGAAATTTAACTTCTGCTCTGTATATCTCATTTTTGTTTTCAACTGTCATCAGTATCGTCGTTTCGACAGCACCAAATGATTAGAAACCGTAGTGGGAGGCAGAGATTGCCATTTGGCAGTTAACTGTATTTTTATCGATTCATGTATAAATTGATAAGAAAACAACTCCAAAAAGTTGACTAATTAGAAAAACGGTTTAGACTTTCTTAGAAAATATTCGAACGAGTACTTAATCAATTGAAATTCAATGATGAGATTCTATTTGAAATATAAGACTCAAATTTGACTAATGAAAAGAAATTCGATTATCTATAATAGGTGAGTGAATAAGACACAGTTACTAGACTAACATTAAATTTCGTCATCTTTCAATCTAGAAACAAACAATTTAGTATTCGATATACGTTATACTTATTGATTAATTAAAAATTCGAATGTCGATTGTCTTTAAATTTTGTAGTGGCAAAGATCGTCATTAAGATTAATTGATTAGATATACGCTTGCGTCCTTGTCTTTTCATTGAGAAACTAAAGCCAATATTCAAAAAAGAGAAAGAATTTCGTTTTAATGATAACTGTTCTAATGAATCCAAGATTTCAATTGTGAATTGGACTTTAGTCTACAACAACTTGATCATCAAATGAAGTGAAATTGTTCAAATAAACTACATAACACAACCAAAGTGTTAGAAGAATTGATGTTAAATTTAATAGTCAAACAATAATTCATATCCACTGCAATAAAACAGTTTGTTTCAATAGATAACCGATGCAAAAATATAAGGAAAACAATGAATGTCTTCTTTTTTTTATCAGAATTCAGTCGATTGCATGTATCTATTTTGATCAAAATATAAAAATTGAATCAGTCAAAGTTAACAATAGAGAACATATGACACAAGTGAACTGTGTCAGAATGAAAGAAATATGCACACAAAGATACAGATGTACATGAAGGAAAAAAAAATCAAAAATTGTTCAATGTTAATTAGATTCATATTCACGAAGAATTTGAATAATGTGAACGACGATATCGGGTGAATCTCTAACACGCATATAATTAACACCATCATCATAACTCATCTGAGCCCAATAGAGAGCATCATAATTGTTATGATCTTTTACATGTGGATTAGCTCCATTTTCTAGTAGTAATAGCTTAATAATCGAGTATGATTGACTATATGCTGCATGCATAAACTCTGTCTATACCTTTCGCATCGACATGTCGATAGAAAAATATCGTCAGTAAGAATAGTAGACTCTCTCGTGTCATCAAGTGCATATTGAAAGAGATCGAGTGATGCAGATTTTCTTGCAAAAAAGTTAAAAGTTTCGATAAAGAATTACTTTGAATTTTATAAAGATCAATAAGTTCTTTCAAAATGTTTACTTCGATATTTCCTGATTCTTTTTAAATCGAATATAATTTAACTTGTAGTTCTGATTGTTGAAGAAGTAAACAAAGAATTTCATTATGACCATATTGATATGAATAATCAAGTGCTGAATGACTACATTTATCGGTCATATTGATATCGAGATTATTTACATGATCGAGCAAAAACTTGACTATATCAGCGTTTCCTGTATTACAATTACGAATAAATACTGTTACACCAACGACACTTTCGATAGTTCATATCAAGTCCTTGTTGAATGTAAGCAAGGGTAAGACTTTTATTACCATTTTTAATTGCAAGACAGATGTGCGTTACACCGTATTAATCTTCAGCATTGCCATTCTTTTCAATAATCTATGGTAGATACTTACAACAACAAATACTGAATTCAAAGCTTCAAGGTTTTTTTGAATAACAAAAAATATTTTCTTTTTAATGTTCGTGTTTTTCTTTATACAAGCATCATCTGTGAAGTTGTCTTATCCTTAATTATTCATAAAAATGATTACTCATGACATATGGATGCCCGTTACTTTATCGTGAAATTTAAAAAAAAAACGAAGCTTTTTATTACGTTCATATTTAATGATAAATCTTAATTAAAATTAATAAAAAATAGGCAATGATAGAACGATAACAAAATTCATTAGTAGAAACGAAAACTTTACTATTAATCTAATGATCAATAATTTTTTTTTGCACTTTCGTTATCATCACTTAACAGATTATACTCATATGGTTCCTTAACTTTGAGCTTTTCTGAAGTAAAATTATCATTAGTGTTTTTCTTCATGTACATCATTGGATTTTCTTTTTGATGAGTATGTTATTGAAATAGTGTTTGAATCAAACATATGCTTAAACGAAATGAAATTTTCTTTGAAAAACATAAGTTGATCAATTTTTTTTCAGCATCTAGTATTGTTCTTCGGTCACAGATCATAATTTTGGTTAAAGAAAATAATCTTTCGACGAAGGTGTTCGCCACTGGAACGGCCAACACCTTATAAGCAATACCAGCAATATTTGGAAATTAATTCTCTTTTTCTCCAAAATAAAAGCAAATCATTATTAATCATATCTATGTCAAAATCACTTTATCATCACTACATGAGAGTGTAGGTGTTAGTATTGATGTTTATTTTGTCCGCACATACATTCCCACCGCATTCACGATCAAACCCACACTCTTTCGCTATTTTTAGAGAGTAATTTGTCAGAAAATTCTGAGAATTTTGAACCAATTAGATCTTGACTAGTACATAGAAAAGTTATCATAGACTCGAAATTCCAGGAGATACGATGGTCTCAAGGGAGTCAGAATGGTCTTAGTTTTCGCCCTTTTTCTTCGAAAAGGTACGTCTAGCCATGTTGAAAATTGTCTAAGAATATTTGACATTATTCGAGTGTCAATTTGTTTTGTTTTGGCTTTATATGTCCTGTTGACAAGAGAAAATGAAAATAAGAATATCGCTGTGAAAAGTGATAATTTTATGAACCAAAAAAATAAAATAGTATCCTAAATAATATCTCGTACATGTGACAAAAAATATTCATCTTGATCGGAGTTGCCTTGGCTCGGAAAAAGATGATTCAATCATTTTTCTATGCAAACGTTGATACCGAGAAACCGTGAAATGTGAAACACTGTTTTTTTTCTCGATATTTTGGATATCTCTTTTTACATGTAAAAGCTGTTAACTATTGTTCTTGTACAAGGATTAGCAGAACGCATTATTGATCCTCGCAACATATTTTAGTGATGCAAATACTTTTTATGATTGATCATTCGCTAGACGAAAGAGCTCTCAGGCATGTTTTTTTTATTTAGAAGTCTCAAAAATCGTTTTGTTTTTCAGACTTTGAATAGTAATGAAATCTTTCAGTTTATATGATATTCCTTAGAAGACATTAGAATGTCTTTTTGAAGGCATGAATCGAAAACAGTAAATTTTCGGATTGAATTGAAATCTTTAACGAAGAATTTCTGATGAGAACAATTGTTGGAATTTGTGACATTGTTTTCCATGATCTTCAATTAATTGTTCTAAATACTTTATTCTATTTTGCTGAGAAGGAGAGTCATTGAGATAGTCTCATATCTTTCTGTAAGAAGAGCTTCAAACGACAAAACAATAAGGAATTTTTCTTTCGTTGTCATTTGACGATTGTCTATTGTGAACTATCAATAGATCCAAGACATATCAGTCATTCAAAACAGTTGTGATGTGCTCTGAACATATTGATCGTGGAAAACGAAAATAATTTGTAGTTCATTCCATAGATACCGTTGGATAAAAATCTGTACTATGCCTATTTTAATGTCAACTAAACCAACTGACACATTTGGTTTCCTTCGTCAACTCATCTATATTGATCAGTCAGAGATAAGAAGAGAGAGTCACTAGTATTTCATTGATTGTAAGAAAGAAAAAAAAAGAGGGTATGCGCGTGAGTGAGAAAGAATGCGAATGACAGAGAGAATATGAAAGGAAAAAAGAAAAGAACTGACGCAGAGAATATATGCACGAGAGCAGAGAATGAAAGATAGATATGTGTTCATTAGCAAAAGTGCATGAAATGAGATTCTTCTACAGGGAC